ATGTTTCATTTTAAACGCTTTTTATATGATTTTCTGTTGTTGTCTGTACCTCATCTGTGTTCTTTGTTTAAAACAGGTCTCTCTTATAAATTATTTCTCATGGCTCAATGAGACTAACCTGTATAATAAAGGTTGAATGAAAAAAGTATTTACACTTTATTTTCATTCATTTCAACCTTTATTCATACTTGTCAATCCCACTGGGCCTCGGGGACTCAATTACAAGAGAGACCTGCATTTTAACAAAGACTGATGACAACAGGGGACAACAACGACAACAACAGACAATCATAAAGGATGCGTACTAATAAAAAAAACCTTTATACTGCCATCACTACTGACGCTCCCTAAAAAGGTAAGATTGAAGAAAATAGAGTTAGACATGTACATTCATGTACATTCTGTTTTTTATGTTTTTATGTTTTCTATATGGATCTTATATTGTGTCTGAAATAAAGTAAATGATGATTCATTCAACCTTTATGCAGGTTTGTCACATTGAGTCACAACGACTCATTTACAGTACAAGAGAGACCTGTTTTAGACAGACAACATATAAAGTTATTATTCCAGTCATTATTACCTGCAGTGTTCCCTCAGTGAGGACTGAACTAGACAAAAGGGCCTTCTCCTACTCCGCTCCTGTTTCCTGGAATATCTTGCAAAAAGACCTGAAGCTCTTGACCTTGACCTCTCTAAGTGGCTTCAAGAATCTGTTAAGTTCATGGCAGGGACCAATGCAGACATGTTCCTGTTTTTAGTTTTCTACATTCGCCTTATAATCTAGCTGTTTTTGTTACTTTTTGGCCATCTTATTTGTATATATATATATATATATATATATATATATACAGTATATATATATTTAAAAAATCTGTATGCCTTTTTTATAACTGTCTATTGTTGTTGTTGTTGTCCATTGTTGTCATCATTCTTTGTTGAAATCAGGTCTCTCTTGTAAATGAGTCCTCGAGGCTCAATGGGATTAACCTGTCTAAATAAAGGTTGAATGAATGAAAAAAGTACAGACAGCAATAATTCAACAAAGAACAATTAAAAGCAAATAAAAGAAGTTATAAACTGTAAAATCAAGATGCCAAATAAAATAAGGTAAAATACTAAATACAAGAATATACTGGCTTTGATATTTCTACTGACATTATGAAATGTTTAAAATCCCTTACGTCAGTGTAACAGGGTTGTTAAAGAATGTTGTCAAAATGCACCGTCTTTATAATATTTTTCTTGTTATTCAGGAAAGTTTTAGTTGTCATCAGATTATTATTTTTTTTGGGGGGTGGGGGGGGGGGGGGGGGGGTTAGATATCATATAAACAATAGATACAGCATTGACCGCTATCGCCTATTGGCGCTGACGAGCTGTAGGGCCGCCATCTTGGAACGGTCGACCGCTCCACTCAGTGTAACCTGTTTGACAGGAGCAATGAAGTATTTGCGCGTTTAATCAGTCATAGCTGAATACTAAACTCATTCTCACGATGTTTTCCTCTGTAAATCTCAGGAGTACAGCGATTAAAGCTGAACACATGGTTCAGAGTATTTAAATATTCTTGGTGGGGTTAACATTAACACTAATAAAATATTCTTATGACACGTTTGCAAAACTCACAGTCACTGATACATTTTTATTAAGATCTATCTATCTACCTATATATTGATATATACAGAAACATCTCATCTCTCTCTCTCTATATATATATATATAATTATATTATATAATATATATTCTATAATATATATATTTATATATATATTATATAATATATATAAATATATATATACACACAATTATATCTATTTTATATATAACCACATATTGCCACCATATATACACACACACATAATCTCTCTCTCTCTCTCTCTCTCTATATATATATATATATATATATATATATATATATATATATATATACATACATATCATCTCTATCATTTTTACTGTAGTTTAACATTGCCATTGTTTACTGTTCTCTCTGGAGCAGGTCTCTTGTAAACGAGTCCTTGTGGCTCAATGAAGACAACCTGTATAAATAAAAGGTTGAATAAATCATTATGTATATCTATATATTCATTCAACCTTTATTGATACAGGTTAGTCCCATTGAGCCAACAGGACTCATTTACAAGAGAGACCTGGATTTTAACAAAGAGTGATGACAACAGTGGATAACAAACTGTTTTTCAGTTGTAAAACAAACAACAAACAAAAACCTTAAATTTGTATGAATCATTTGTGAATGTCTATTGTTGTTGTTGTTATCACTGTCTTATGCTGGTCCAGTGTCTTCATGGACGATGTGTGTGAGGGTGGACATGTTTGGAGGTTGCTGTGTTGAAGCTCCATGGATCAGCCTCTCTGCAGCTCTCAGCACCTTCACTGAGCCTTGAGGGAATCACTGAGCTGCTCTTGTTCTTCACAGTTAGAAGGTGGGAGCTCTCGTCAAATGATGATCTCCAGCATCATCTTGTTCATGCCAGGCTTTTCATCCACTGACCACAGACACCTGGAAACATCAGGGGGACCAGTAGCTGTTTAACACATCTGGAAGGAAACCAGTGAGATTTTAATATGATCATTATGATATGATGTTATGTGGGGGAGTGGTGGCGCAGAGGTTACAAGATGGGCCTGTGATCTGAAAGTCGCATGTTCAACTCCCGGTACCGTCAACATCAAAATGTGGGTGGAAAAGGTGAAACACCCACACCTGCCTCCACCCTCATTGGCTCCACCCTGGGCCCCTGAGCAAGGCACTCAACCCCCACCATCTGCTCCTAAACAGGTCTCTCTAGAAAATGAGTTCTCGTGACTCAGTGAGACTAACTGGATAAATAAAGGTAAATGAAAAAATAAAAGTTTAAAATAGAAATACTCACATCATTAGGCTGAGGTTGTGTGTGTGACGTGCACGTTCCTGAGAGTGTGTGTGTGACGTGCACGTTCCTGAGAGTGTGTGTGTGACGTGCACGTTCCTGAGAGGCCACAGACAGAGCAGCTCCAGCTTTTGTTGAGTTCCTGTAGTCCTGCAGTTTTCAAGCTGAAATGAAAAAGCATCATGAATATGAACTTTACAGTCTATAGTTACCTGTTCATATAAACACATGGAGGTGTCTCACCTTGTGACTGACAATAAAATATGTAACTTTATGAACTCTAATGAACTTATAATGATGCTCCTACTCTCTGAAGGTGAACGGATGGTACCACACCATCTCTCAGTCGGACAGTCTGATCAGTTTGATCAAAATCCTCCAGTTTAAAATCCTCACTGCTCAGATGAATCCTCCTCAAAGATACTTCCTCCTCTTCCTCACATCTTGTTCTTTGGGAAACCTTCACAATGAAAACAGGAGATTTGTGTCCAAACAAAAACATTGTACAGAGGAGGTCAAGATTATTTTCTATTTCCTATATTCTCCCTAGTTTTATTTTTTTTTAATTTCCTAGAACTTAAACAAAACTCCAGTTTTGATGCATATCTGTTGATAATGAACCAAAGCTACTGAAGTAGTGAGTATTCTTGTTAGAAAAATATTCCTGTCATCAGATCTCAGTCAGCTTCATTGCAGCTGAACACGTGTTACACTGAACATCACATCAGCTGGTGGACATAAATACAGTACAGTAATATTATATTCACAAAATACTAAGAATACTATGTTCATCTTACTTGTGAAAAGTTATCCCCCCGAGACCGGATGTCAACAGTCCGTCGATTAGAACAGAAATAAGCTGCGAAGTGATGAGACATCTTCTGCTTTAACTGAATAAGACGACCGTTCCAAGATGGCGGCCGAAAATCCCGCGCCGCAGCAGCCAATGAGGGATCTAGTGTTTATATCTATGGGGGGGGGGGGGGATTTGTTTACATATGCAGTAGATCCTGTTGGATTTAATATTTTATACCTTTTTATAATTCCTATCAAGCACTCAAATGTCATGTCATATAAAGTGTGTGCGTGTCTTTCTTCCAGGGTTGAACTATGTTTATAGAAAATGTTTGCTAATTCTAACTAGTTGACCTTTAAATATAATCTCATAGGAGCTAAAGATAATTTTACAAGTTCACATTTGATAGATTACAAGCAATCAAATCAGGCCTTTCAGAACCTTTCAGAACAGATTAGAGCAGAGACTGATTAACATAAAAAAGCTAGAACACATCTCTTTAATTTAGACAATATAGTTTGACTAAGTAAAATCAAATTAAAAGTATAAAATGAAAAACACAAACATGAGTTAGATAATAATAATTAAGTTATTAATTACTCCTAGAAATAAACAACTTGATTTCTAATCAGTTGGTATCACTAAGGTATAATCACGTTAAACAAACAGTGTTAACAGTTTAAACGCAGACAAGGAAACTAAGATGAATCTGCCTTAAAAAACAGAATCACCAGGCCTTCAACAGATATTGAATTAACACCCATGAGGTAGGTAATAATTAATAGTTATTAATTATTACGTATAGACAATTTAGACACGAATCATTTTGTATCCCTAAAGTATAATAGCAAGTTAAACTTTAAACAAAAGCCGATTTCGGTGTACCAAAACTTATCTGAAATATAGACGTTAACGTCCTTGAGGGGGCGGGCTAAGAGTCGTAACCATAGCAACAGAAGCTGAACCAATCAGGAAGCTAGCCTTCTCAAACGGGGATAAAAGGCCGGAAATGACCACGCCCACCAAGCATTTCCGGTAGGACCGCGCGGCGACGGTTCGTTTTTAATGCTTCATTTATATGCATATATCTTATTAATGTAATTGTTTGTCTCTGAATATCTGTAACCCATGTTTTGTCAAATAAATCTTTTATACCAAGGGCGACGCCTCAGCCGTTTTGAACACGACGTGGTATTCCAGCCACAACAATCCTTTTTTTAAAACATGTAATCCAGGTTTGTTTGTGTAGTGACGACGACCCCTAGTGGTGGGTGGTGGTAAATATGTACATGACGTCAACAGCTCGGCCTTTTTGCTACCTCTTGTGTTTGGGAGCTACGTATGGATTTAGCTCCGTGATTTATTTCAATTACTGATGAAAAAAACTTGGCGTGAATGAAATGGTTTACTGTGTGATTTAGTTCAAAGCTGTTGCTGCCATTGGCTTGTAACGCTGCAGCTTATTGCCTGTGGAGAGTAAGTTATTTCAACCTGTTAGCGTCTGCAGCTGTTAGCATATGATGTGTTAGCAGCAGCGCATCGTGCTGGGTTCATCTAGTGTGGTGACTGTTTTCTTGTTTTGCTGTGTAGGAGCAGGAGCTACACATCAGACCACCAACCACACGTTTGCTAACAGGTATGGCTGTAATTTCTAGTAAACACAGTTCAGTATTATTTTGTGGGGGCATCACGGCGGGCCGGGGGCCTTTCTGGGTGGAGTTTGCATCGTGCATGCGACCGCAGTAAAGTTCGTTTTACGTTGTACAGTCGCGCTCCGTATTCAGCGGTGTGTTCCCCATCCAAAAACTAACTTTACCGCGGTCGCATGCGTGGGTTTTCTTCGGTTACTCTGGTGTTGCGCCATATTTTGTGACCATTGTATATTGTGACCTTAGGGGGCGCTGTGCATTTTTACACCATGCTTTGCAGTACAACATTTTTCAATCAGGTCATCTGGAGAGTTACTTTTTTTTTTGTGCTGAAACATTTCGCCCTCGATCCGGAAGGCTTCATGAGGATTATTGAGCATGGACTTTGTTGTTTTCAACCAGTTTGACAAGACTTTCAACAAGGAAGAGGGCCGGCAATGGAGGAGGGGGCGTACCAAAGAGACCATCTTATCACAAGCAGAACTGGTTTGTTCCGCTTTGGAGTAAGCTGTTGGGGGAAGAATCAGTTGTGTGTTTCCTTGACTGATGAAGCCTTCTGGATCAAGGCGAAATGTTTCGGCACCAAAAAAAAAAAAAGACACTGTCCAGTAGGAATGTGTGATATGGCATAAAATTCATATCACAATATGTATTGTCAAGGGTGGCGATAACAATATATATCGCAATATGTTTTGGGTATAAAACTTAATAGGAATTTTTCTAAAAGCATAGGGTGTCCTTTTGCCATCATATATTTTGAATTAAGAAAATTCCACTACTAGGTTCAGAGAGTTTTTAAATAATAAACAAATCAAGTATTAGGCTTCTTGCTTGTAGTGCAAAGCAGTGCAAAATATATAAAATGTAGTTTTTAACCATATGTTTTAAACAAAAGAATATGTTGTTAACAGTTTCCAGTCTTAATAAATGAACAGCAACAGAGCAGCATTTTACACTGAAACACTTCACCCTCCAAACCTCTAGTTGGCGACTCCTTCCGCTTTAAGGAGAGCTGACACAAAATGAGTCTGTGGCTTTGACCAGAGGGTCTCGCAGTCAAATCACACAACACAGCGTTCTTTTCACAGATCAGAGAGCAGGTTTCTCTAAAGCTGACCAACACTTACTTTAACTTTCGACAGAAAAAACAAACAAAAAACCTTTTGACGGAACACAGCGTTTTGCGCATGCGTCAGAATATGACAACACTACGGCAAGCCGGCTGTAGTTGGCCTGTAGCTTCGCTACTTGGCTCTCAAATAAAAGACTTTAACGCCACTTGCGCACAGTTTTCAGCTAAAAAAAGTAAAGATTAAATCTGACAGTTCTGATTTTACATCAGACACAGCATTACTGCGGTTAGCTGGTAGAAGTCAGATCTCTATCGTAGGCTAAATTTATATCGTTTCTACTGTATACCGTTTATATTGCGCATTCCTACTGTCCAGATGACCTGACTGAAAAAATGTTGTATTGTATACCTGGATTATTGAGCTTGGACATTGTTCATACTAGCAAACTAAGGATTATTTCAATAATCGATTCATCGGTCGATTCGTTTTTCGATTAATCGACGAATCTGGAAAAAAAACCCACAACGTTTTAATTTCCACCCCTTTATTCCAAAATTGAACATTTGACTGACATAGAAATTCGCACAAAAAACAGGTTGCTATTTTACTATTCTGTTAGTAAAATATTGAATAATAAAAAATAAGTTAGTCAAATAGCTTAAAAAAATAAATTTACACAAAAATATAAACAAATGTATCTTTATATCTGCACAATATGTAGCTACTTTGTAAAATGTGTCCATGAGGGAAGAGTGTAACCTGGATTAAAAGTGTGGAATATTGAAGACTTCCGGCTGAATGGCGGTGAGATAAGGTGTGTTTGGGTGTGCTCCTACAGAATTAGCCTTTTCTCTGATTAATGCCTGGGCACTTTTTCCCGAGTCCGACAGCAAACAATATCTAACTTACACACTTTACATAATCCTCCTATTTTGCCATTAAAATGCCACCAAAACCGACTAAAGGGGTAAGTTCGATCCACGCTCACCTGCGGCCTAATCCTCGTAGTGAAGCCTCGAGCTGTCCTGGATCACCTCCTCCGTCTGAGGGCGACGTCAGCAGCCTTAAGCAAGAAATACTTGTAGCTCTCCGAGAGGACCTTGCTGCTATAATTAAAGCAGAATTCCATGCTGTTCTGGGTGAAAGTCTCTCGTCGATTAATGCCGAGCTGTCCGCCTTCAAAAAGGAGCTATCGTCTGGGCTAGCAGCGGTGCAGGAGAGCCTCACGGGGCTAAAGCTAACGGTAACAGAGGTGGAGAAGTCCGTCTCCACCTGCACTGACGACATCGTGAACCTCCAGAAAACAGTTGACGTCCTTACTAAGACGGTGGCACAGTTGGAGGATAAGTGCGATGACCTGGAGTCCCGGTCTCGACGTCAGAACATCCGCATCATTGGTGTTCCGGAGGATGACCCATCAGCGGCGACAACGGCTGCGGTATCTCGGATGCTAAAGGAGGCCTTCGACCTCGAGGAGGAACCGCTGCTGGACCGTGCTCATCGCATCCCAGCCCCCAAACCGAAAGCAGGCGAGCGGGCCCGTCCGATTGTAGCTAAGTGTCACTACCAAGCGGACTGTGTGAAAATCCTGGCGAAGGCGAGGGAGTTGCAGCGGGTCAAAGTGAACGGTACGAATATCTTCGTTTTCCCTGACTACACTGCCAAAACGGCCCGGGCGCGGGCGGCCTTCACGGAATGTCGTCGCAAGCTGCGGGACATCGAGGGGGTTCGGTTCGGCCTGCTCCACCCGGCCCGGCTGAAGATCACGTTTGAGGGTAACACGCGGGTGTTTACCTCTGCTGAGGAGGCGAAGATTTACATTGAGTCGATTACAAAATGAGCATTACAATTAATATAATCGATCTCACACTCAGGAATGTCAGTATTATTAGTCATTATTATTATTCAGGTTTGAAAATGTAATCAAAGTGTTCTGTCTACACTCACGGACTTATTTGTTTACATTCAGGGGTTTAATGTTCTGAATTATAATTAGTATGTTTTGTTTACAATTAAGGATTTAATGTTTAGAATTATAATTAGTGCGTTTTGTTTACAATTAGGGATTTAATGTTTAGAATTATAATTAGTGTGTTTTGTTTACAATTAGGGATTTAACGTTTAGAATTATAATTAGTGCGTTTTGTTTACAATTAAGGATTTAATGTTTAGAATTTATAATTAGTGTGTTTTGTTTACAATTAGGGAATTAATGTTTAGAATTATAATTAGCGTGTTTTGTTTACAATTAGGGAATTAACGTTTAGAATTATAATTTGTGTGTTTTGTTTACAATTAAGGATTTAATGTTTTGAATTATAATTAGTGTAAGAGTTCTTGTTCTCCCAGATTAGTGCCTATTATATATTTTAAATCTTTTTATTTTGCTAGTTCGGTGGGAGTCACCTGACACAAGAAGGTGTTTTAGGGTTTTTGCGGTGTGGTGCCATTTGGCTGTAAGGCTAAGTTTTCTGATGACTCCCGTTGGAGTCTGCACAGCCC